CACCCATTTTGTCTTGTTGGCGCCAGCGAATGCAGAACAAACATTTCGTCAAATTTAAAAAGTAAAAATTTCACTACTAACAATTTAAAAATGTTCTTAAAACTTGCAAAGAAATTTGGAAAAGAAATATCACTGTTTTTGTTTTTAGGAGTAGGGTGGGAGTGTCATTGATAAAATTAGAGCGAGAGAAAGTTTTTCTTACAAAACCTTTCATTATTGAATCATGGGCCAAGAGTAAAAAGAATTTTGAAAGGCGTTGCTTTGTTGTTGCTATGTAGTTGTCATAACAAAAATATAAAATTGACTTTACCCATGCTTGTTCGGTAAGCAAAGGTCTAAACCAATAGATTTTTTTTAATATAACAATGTAGCTTATGTTTGTTCATTAAAGAAATCTTTTCATGCATTAAAAACTAAGCAAACCACACTTTCCGACAAAGTGAGAAGATGATGCATTTTGGCACGAATTTCCGTGGCCCTTTAAAAATTTGGTTTGTGGACAAGCCGGTCTTCATCGTCCTTTTCCATTCCATCTGCTTCGAGTTTCTCTATGCTTAACAAACAGAGACAGAAACTCAATCTAAAATCAAATCAATGCAGGGCCAGTTTCAGATGAGCAATTTAAGTGCCGATTGATGATAAAAAAATATTCAATTTCATATCATATATGTACATATTTAAACTCTATTTAATGTGCAATGTAGGCTATTTAAATATGAAAAATGCTGATTTTGAATGCAGATTCAAAATAAATTTAAACGCCATTTAATTCATTTTGGATGCTATGAATCCCCAAGTTTGATTATAATACCGATTCGTCATTAGCTTTAATTAATTGTTTAAGCACTCAATGTATCTGGTTACTTATTTGAATTTTTACTATATTTAATTTATTATCGGTATTTAACATATTTTTAAAGAAGTTTTTTTAGCTGTGGTTTGTGTCGCTAGCAATAAACTAGAATGAATACAATACAATTTTCATAAAACATTATGTCCCAATACAGAATATCGTTTACAAAATACCACAAAACATTTGGAATTTGAAAAATTAATTTAAAACTTAAACACACACATACAATCAACATACAAAATTAACATCATATCACCCCACTATCTAGTTTTACTTCCGCTTCCAAAAATAACAGAATTCATACATATTTACAAGTACACACATATCAACATAGGTTTTGTTAAAGTGAAACAACATTATGCTGCTAAAAAGGGCACTCCCTCATTCAGCAGCATATTATTGTTGTACTTTATCGCTAAGCTCACTTCTCACACTTTAATTGGGGAGCTAAAGTAATAGCAAGCTTTTAAGCGAAAATGCGGCATTAGATAACGTGGTTAGGCTTGAACGCAAGCGTGGAACTTGAAATAACTCAAGCGATGCTTAATCGGCTTTCATCGTTTTTCTGCATTTCCCGAAGCCATTGACACTGAACAAAAGATTGTATAACTTTTCAACAACGCACAGCATTCGTTTTCAGCTAATTTGAAAACATAATTGCATATTTGGAAAATATATGTATGTATACTGC